AAGGGCAATTCCAGGAAAAGGGCAATTCCAGGGAAAGTGCAGCACCAGGAATGGACAATTCCAGAAGGGGGCAATTCCAGGAGAGGGCAATTTCAGGAGACAGCAATTCCGGCGGGGGGGGCAATTCCAGGAGTGGACAATTCCAGAGCCAGACAGGCTCCCTTCCCTGCTCTCCCACCTCACAATCCAAGGTTATTCCCACTTGGAAGGGATTTAAGGGCTGGAAATGAAGGAAGTGCCTCATGCCCGCCCCAGCTCCCAGAGCCCAGCAGGTTCTGCTCCCATCCCACTTCCACTTCCATTTATTTCAGATAAATATTTCAGATATATGGTTTACTTTAAATCCTGATTTTATCCCGTCAGTTCCATCCCCTCCACCCTGCTCCGCCCCAGCTCCGCATCTCCACAGAATTCCTGTCGGATTTAACCCTTTCCTAACCCGGAGATGGGGCAACTGAGAGGAGTTTTAAAACCTTTTATTCCATTTTCAGTCTCGTGTGAAGGGTGAGACAGCGCAGATTTATAAATCACGCCATAGCAATCAGAAGAAGTCAGAAAAGGGCTTAATCCCAGAAATTCTTTTTTTTCTGGAGCCGGGAGCGGTGCGAGCCGGTGACTCAGGAGCGTCTGGGCTGCGGGAGGCGCTGCCAGCCGGGAATGCTGGAGAGAGGAGAGAGGAGAGAGGAGAGGGAGAGGCAGCGCTGACTCAGCCCCAGGTGGGCCGGGAGATGGGGTTTGCCGGCAGAGGCTGCAGCCCACGCTGCCCCTCTGCTCCGGGGGTGGGGACAGCCGGCTCCGGGATGCTTTGGGATGCTCCAGAATGCTCCAGGATGCTCTAAGATGCTTTGGGATGCTCCAGGATGCTTTGGGGTGCTCTGAGATGCTCCAGAATGCTCTGGGGTGCTCCAGAATGCTTCAGGATGCTCCTGGGTGCTTTGGGATGTTTTGGGATGCTCCAGGATGCTCTGGGATGCTCCAGAATGCTCTAGAATGCTCTGGGATGCTTCGGGATGTTCTGGAATGCTCTGGGATGTTCTGGCATGCTTTGGGATGCTCCTGGATGCTCTGAGATGCTCCTGAATGCTCTGCGATGCTTCAGAATGCTCCAGGATGCTCTGGGGTGCTCCAGGATGTTCCAGCGTGCTCCCAGATGCTTTGGGATATTTTGGGATGTTCTGGGATGCTCCAGGATGCTCTGGGATACTCCCAGATGCTTTAGGATGTTTTGGGATGCTCCAGGATGCTCTGGGATGCCCTGGTGCTTCTCAAGGGGCTCTTGGTCCCACAGGGAGCCGCTTGCTCTGTCACCAAAGGTTCCCCTCTCTCTGTGAGAAACACATTCATTCTCCTGTGAACACTGAAAAAGTTTAATAAAGGACAGTAGGAGACAAGGAGCACAGAGCAAAGGTTATTGTGGCACCAGCCAAGAGCCCCCTGTTATCTTTGGGGTTTGTCCTGGTTTAGGGCAAATTTAACCCTAACCCCTTAAATACCTTTAATTACATCAGCCCTTTGCATATTCATAGACCCTGGTGCTCAGTAAACTTTTCCCCAAACTGGTTTACATGTTCTGAGAATTGTTTAGGACATCTCTGCTTTGGATCTGCCTTTTCAGAGCATGTGCATTCCTGGATTGTGGTTTTAGTTCCTTTTTATCCCTGGCCCACACTGACTCAAGAGGGTGAGTGCTGCTGGCTGGCACATCTGTCCAGGTGTGCTCACCCTGTGTGGCACATCTGTCCAGGTGTGCTCACCCTGTGTGGCACATCTGTCCAGGTGTGCTCACCCTGTGTTCAGTGGGTGTTATCCCATCCCTGCAGGCACTGGGACACAGCACACTGATATCAGGTTTAATGAACCAGAGAAATAAAATCCATATCTTTATAACAAAGTCACTTTAACACCCACACATCTAAAATCCATTTTAATATTTGCAAAAAACCAATATTACAATGTCTATTTATAGGATCTCCATCGCATCTGGAGCATCTCCTAGTTCCAATACCTGCTCCCCTCCTTCCCCCCAGGCACTCTCCAGGATGTCCCTGCCCCCGATTTGATGTCCCTGTCCCCGATTTGATGGCTCCGCTCCCTCCCGTCTGGCGGGAGCTCAGCCGAGCACAAAGCCGCCCTTTCTCCCATTCAGGCCCCGCAGCGGGGACATTTCCAGGGACAGTGGTGCCATTGATTGTCACCCGAGCCGCGGGGCTGGTGGCAAACGCAGGGCACGGGGGCTCGGAGGGGTCAGCCAGGCTCTGGGAATGAGCCCTGTGTCCCCTGGAGCTCTGGGATGGATTTAGGGGGTGATGGCAGGGCCAGGCTCTCCAAGGGCACGGGCCTTTCTGTCCAGTGTCAAAAGCAGCTTTTGAGAGATGTCCCATTCTTTGGGGACACAATGGGACATGGCCCCATCCCTGGAAGTGTCCAAGGCCAGGCTGGATGGGGCTTGGAGCACCCTGGCACAGCAGAAGTTGTCCCTGCCCTTGGCACAGAGTGGGATGAGACGAACTTTAGAGTCTCTTCCATTGCCAACAATTCCATGCTTTTCTGGCACTGAGATGATGCCCTCTGCCTCCTCATCCTCATCTCCTCATGCTGTTCAAACCCCAGACTCATAGCTTGGGGTGCAGGGATGATCAAACCGCAGACCCGCAGGCTGGGGTTCAGGGATGTTCCCTCATCCCACCAGGATCCAAACCCCTTCCCTAACCCAAGCTGCTGCAGGCAGAGCAGGACTTGGAACCAGCTCTGCAAGACTTGGAACCAGTTTTGCAGGGCTTAGGTAGGACCAGCTCTGCAGGGTTTAGGAGCAGCCCTCGAGGGCTACCCCAGCCCTACAGGGACCCAGCAGGCGCTCCTGGAAGCGCTCGGAGGCTCCGTTGCCAGCTCCGAGCCCAGCCCAGGCTCGCTGGAGGCTGGCAGAGCTGTTTCCACTCTCGGCTCTGATTCAGTCCCCGGGGAGCTGCAGGATAAACAACAACCTCGGCGCCGGCCAAATGATTGTTTAGGGCTGCTTTGTTTGCGGCTGACAGCTCGGCGGGGCTCGGGGTACTCATGAAGAGCCCCCCCAAAGGAGCCTCAGGGCAGCGGGAGAGAAGTGTGGGAGAGGAGGAGGAGGAGCTGAGTTTGGAGCTGCAACTCAAAACTTGGAGATTTGCCTGGGTTTGCAGAGATTTAGGGGCTGGGGTTTCAAAGTTTGGTGAGGTCTGGGCAGATCCCCTCGAGGTGTGTTGGTGATGGGGTCACGGCACTTTATTGGGGTTTTTGGGAATGGACAGGGTGTGAAGGGGATTGTGCCTGTCCTGGGCGGGCTGGGACTGAGCCTGGCTGCAGAATCAGCCTGGAAGGTTCTGTGCCAGCTTCTCCAGCTCGGGCTCAGGGGTTTCTCAGAGCCTTTGGGCACAGGGAAGGCTGGGCAGGGCACAGGGGCAGGCAGGGCACAGGGGCAGGCAGGGCACAGGGAGATGTCACCTCATTGTGTCCCCAGATCGAACCTGGAGATTCTGGCAGCTTCTCCAAGCCTTGCTGGGAAAACTCTGCTTGTTTTAAAGGATGAGGGACCACCTCGAGGCATGTTGGTGATGGGGTCACGGCACTTTAATGGGGTTTTTGGGAAGGGGATTGTGTCTGTCCTGGGCAGGCTGGGACTGAGCCTGGCTGCAGAATCAGCCTGGAAGGTTCTGTGCCAGCTTCTCCAGCTCGGGCTCAGGGGTTTCTCAGAGCCTTTGGGCACAGGGAAGGCTGGGCAGGGCACAGGGGTGGGCAGGGCACAGAGAGCTGTCCCCTCATTGTGTCCCCAAATCGAACCTGGAGATTCTGGCAGCTTCCCCAAGCCCTGCTGGGAAAACTCTGCTTGTTTTAAGGGATGAGAGACCCGCAGGAGATGGGGATAACCCCCAAACCCAGCGGGAATCCAGCTCCCCGCTGGCCTCCGAGGCGCCTCTTGCTGGGCGGGGCAGTGCCAAGTGCCAGCCCTGGCAATTAAGAGCCACGCGCCGCTGATTAATTACCCGACAGTGCCGGCTGCCAGCTCCAGCGGCGTTCCCCGCCTTTGGCCGAGCTCTGGGAGCGCTGCCCAGGGCAGAGGCCGCTGTGTTTTGGAGAGGGAAAAGCGGGGATGGAGAGCTCGGAGTGCCGGGCAGAGGGTGGCCCTGAGCCCTGGAGCGATCCCCGCGCACATCTCGGGTTTTGGGATCCCAGGGGGGAGCAGGGCCAGCCTCACCAAGCCTATGCAGTGGGAATGGCAAGGGTTTGAAGGGAAGGGGGCTGGAGAAAGTGGGATGTGAAAGAGGAAGGGCAGAGGGGCAGACAGACGGATCTGCTGCCAGCTGGGACGTCTGAAGGCTGGCTGGCACTTTTTGTTCCTGTCTGCGACAGGGAGTCTGGGGGTGGTGAAACTTTCATCTGTCAGATCTGGGCTCTGGCCTGGGATCCAAACCCTGTCCATCCCTCCTGGCATCCAAACCCTGTCTGTCTCTCCTGACCTGGGATCCAAACCCTGTCCATCCTCCTGAGATCCAAACCCTGTCCATCCCTTCTAGGATCCAAATCCTGTTGATCCTTCCTGGCCTGGGATCCAAACCCTGTCCATCCCTTCTAGGATCCAAACCCTGTTGATCCTTCCTGGCCTGGGATCCAAACCCTGTCCATCTTTCCTGGGATCCAAACCCTGTTGATCCATCCTCCTGAGATCCAAAACCTGTCCATCCTTCCTGGGATCCAAACCCTGTCCATCCCTCCTGGAGATCCATACCCTGTCCATCCTTCCTGGGATCCAAACCCTGTCCATCCCTCCTGGAGATCCATACCCTGTCCATCCTCTTGGGATCCAAAACCTGTCCATCCTTCCTGGAGATCCAAACCCTGTCCATCCCTCCTGGAGATCCAAACCTTGTCCATCCTCCTGAGATCCAAACCCTGTCCATCCTCCAAGGGCACGGGAAGGGATGGGCTCAGCGGGTGCCCCCAGAGCAGCTCCCTGAGGTGTGTGCCCTTCCCAGGTGCCAAGGAATATGTGTTCCCATGGAGGGAGAGGTTCCCAGTGTTCTTCCACCAGGAAAACACCTCCTCCATCTACGTCGGGGGCGAGGGCAGGCTCTACTACTACGACTTTGCAACGCGTGAGAACTACACGGTGAGGGGCGCCGCTAAGGGGCTTGGAGCAAAACCCCATAAAAAGGGTCTGGGATCCATCTCCCAACCCACATTCTAGGCCTGGATGGGCCTGGTCTCTGCCCAGCCAGCTCCATCCTGCCAGGAAACCAAATCCCAGCAGGAAAGAATGGTTAGGGTTAGGTTGGGGTTGGGGTTAGGGTTCAATCTCCCCTGTTGGCCATGGGTGGGTTCTACCTTGGGTGGGATCCCCCCTGGTTAGAATTAGATTTAAGGTTAGGCTTAGGCATAGGTTTAGGCTTAAATATCCCCTACTGGCCATGGGCAGGTTCTTCCCAGGGTGGGATCCCTCTGGGTTGGGGTTAGGTTTAGGATTAGAGTTAGGGTTAGGATTTGGATTAGTGTTAAATTTTCCGTGTTGTCCATGGGCGGGTTCTACCTTGGGTGGGATCCCTTTGAGGTTCTCACTGCCCAATAGGGCAGATGTTTCTAGCCTGGGATCCTTTCTGGATCCATCATAGAGATTTCCAGCTTTAGATCCTTTCTGGATCCATCCTGGATATTTCCTGGGGATTCTTTCTGGATCCATCCTGGATGCTCCCATCCAGGGATTCTTTCTGGATCCATCCCAAATGTTTCCATCCTGGAATCCTTTCTGGATCCATCCTGGATGTTTCTAGCCAGGATTAGGGTTAGGGTTAGGATTAGAGTTAAATCTCCTGCATTGGCCATGGGTGGGTTCTTCCTTTGGTGGGATCCCTCTGAGGTCCTCTGTGCTGTGCAGGGGGGATGTTTCCAGCCAGGGATCCTTTCTGGATCCATCCCAAATGTTTCCATCATGGAATCCTTTCTGGATCCATCCTGGATTTTTCCAGCCAGGGATCCTTTCTGGATCCATCCTGGATATTTCCAGCCAGGGATCCTTTCTGACTTGGGAGCAGCAATGCTCAGATTTCGTCACTGGCATCCAGCATGGCCTTCATGCTGGATTTCAGGCACCAGAGGTGGGGGACAAGGACACCTCGTGGGTTTTGGTGACCTTGTGGGACGCTGAGCCCATGCCTGGTGGCCTTGGGAGAGCAGGAATGGAAACGTTTCCCTTTCCTTTATCCTAGGAAGAGTTCCCGGTGAGAAATGAAGGCCAGTGCACGTCCTCTGGGAATTTGGTAGGTCCCATCTGTGAGGGAGCAATGGGATGGGGAGGATTTGGGTTGAGGAGGGAACAGCAGGATGGAGAGGATTTGGGTTGAAGAAAGAATAACACGATGGGAAGGATTTGCATTTAAGGAGGGAATAACAGGATGGGGACGATTTGGGTTGAAGGAGGGAATAACAGGATGGGGAGAATTTGGGTTAAAGAAGGAATAATGGGATGGGGAGGATTTGGGTTGAAGAGGGAATGACGGGATGGGGAGGATTTGGGTTGAAGGAATAACAGGATGGGGAGGATTTGGGTTAAAGAAAGAATAACGGGATGGGGAGGATTTGGGTGGTTCAAGGAATAACGGGATGGGGAGGATTTGGGTTGAAGGAATAATGTGATGGGGAGAATTTGGGTTGAAGAGGGAACAGCGGGATGGGGAGAATTTGAGTGGTTCAAGGAGTAATGGAATGGGGAGGATTTGGATTGAAGGAATAATGTGATGGGGAGGATTTGAGTTGAAGGAGGGAACAGCCGGATATGGAGAATTTGGGTTGAAGAGGGAATAATGGGACAGGGAGGATTTGGGTTGAAGGAATAACAGGATGGGGAGGATTTGGGTTGAAGGAATAACGGGATGGGGAGGATTTGGGTTGAAGGAATAATGGGATGGGGAGGATTTGGGTTGAAGAGGGAACAGCGGGATGGGGAGGGCTGGAGTATTTGGTTGAAGGACCTGTGTGTGCTCCTCATGAGCTCCCTCTGGATGAGGGGATCTGGGAAAACCCAGGGAGGGTCTGGGAATCCGTGAGGTGCCGGGGGCTCTGTGCCGTGGCCAGACTCCTCTCCCCTGCAGGAGGACAGCCGGAATTACCTGACCCTGGTGGAGCAGTACGGGGACGGGCTCCTGGTGTGCGGCACCGGCGCCTGCGCTCCCACCTGCTGGAATGTGGTACGGATCCTTCCCCCTTCCTGGGTGGGGAAAACCCGGCCTGACCCCACTCAGGAACCCCTTCTGTCCTTCCCCAGACGCAGAGGAAGGAGAGCCAGCCCTGGGATGGGAGAGGGATCGCTCCCTTCACCCCTGACTCCAACACCCTCGTCGTGGTCGATGGTAAGAGGGATATTTTCCCATTTTCCCATTTTCCTGTGGTTTTGTTGTGCCCAAAGCCTCCCTGGGACAAACAGCAAGCCCCTGAGGCTGCTCTGAGGGCTTTGTCTCCTTGGGTCTCTTCATTTTGTCCCCATGGAAATGCACATCCTGTTGGGACAGAGGTTGGAGATTCCCACTGGGGCGTGGGAGGGGGGCTCTGTGTGGGAGGAACGTTGGGAATCAGGAGTGCTTTGGGTCAGGAGGGACCTGGGAAGGACCTGAATCAGGAATGTTTTGGGTGGGGAGGGACCTCAGAAGGAGGGACCTGAATCAGGAATGTTTTGGGAGTGTTTTGGGTTGGGAGGGACCTGAATTGGGAATGCTTTGGGTCAGGAGGGACTTTGGAAGGAGGGACTTGAATCAGGAATGCTTTGGGTCAGGAATGCTTTGGGTCAAGAGGGACCTGAAAAGGAGGGACCTGAATCAGGAATGTTTTGAGTCAAAAGGGACCTCAGAAGGAGGGACCTGAATCAGGAATGTTCTGGGTCAAGAGGGACCTTGGAAGGACTTGAATCAGGAATGTTTTGGGTCAAGCGGGACCTTGGGAAGGAGGGACCTGCATTAGGAATGTTTTGGATCAGGAGGGACCTTGGAAGGAGGGACCTGAATTGAGAATGCTTTGGGTCAAGAGGGAAATTGGGAGGAAGGACCTGAATCAGGAATGTTTTGGGTCAAGAGGGACCTTGGGAGGAGGGACCTGAATCAGGAACGTTTTGGGTCGGGAGGGACCTGGGAAGGAGGGCCTGCAGTGATCCCACTGCTCCAGGCCTGGTGTGGGGACAGGTGAGGATCCTTCCAAGAATGTGTCCCTGCCACCCTTCAAGGACTGGGTGTCAGGACTGGGATTCCTGTTCCACACCCACCACCCCTGCCATGCCCAGGAACTCCTGGCTGCTTTCACTCCTCCTCATCCTCTCCCCACAGGCCAGGACATCTACTCCACCATCAAGAAGAGCCAGCAGAACGGGAAGATCCCTCGGTTCCGCCGCGTGAGGGGCGGGGGAGAGCTCTACACCAGTGACACCGTGATGCAGAGTGAGTGGGGACATTCCCACTGGGGGGACATTCCCTCTGGGGGGATCCCCACTGGACTCTGCCCCCCACAGCTGGCAGGGGGCAGGAGAAGCTCCAGAGCCTCTTGCTGGGGCTGATTGGTGTCAGATTAAGCAAAACTCGTTAGTTTTGCTTTGCTGGCTTTTGCAGTGCAGGTATGGCTGTAGAGCCACCAAAAACAAATGTTTGGGTTGTTTTAGCCAAGTCAGCAGGCTCAGACACCAAATGTTTGACCTGTTCAAGCCCAAACAAACCTTTGTGACCTGTTTGGAGTGCCAGTGCCAGCCAAAGAGTGGCCAATACCCAAAAGTGACAATTATTGGTGTAAAGCTATCAATGAGATAAATCCCATTACCAGTTAACATCATTGATTGGGTCCCTGATCTTCTTAAAGTACCTTCTGAACATCAAGAACTGGAAATTCCTGGTTCTTTGGCAGTGGAATTTTGTGCTGAGGGAGATCCACAGCTCCCAGTAGAGAAGCTCCAGTTTGTGGTGCAGCTGTACTGCCCCAGTGCCCCCTAAGTTCAATCTGACAGATCAGGTGCCCTCGGTGCCAGCCAGGAGGGAGCCAGCTGTCTGCTTCCCCTGAGCCCTGTTCCAAACCAGCACAAAAGTGACTTCCCTGTCCTTGGGCATGGGGAAATGAGGCTGGCAAGTCCCTCCTGCGGGGTGGAAGGAAATTGGGTTGTGTAAAATGCAAAATGTGGCAGCTGCCCCACAGCATTGGGTAACTTCCATTGCAGGCAGGGGCCCTGGGCAAACCCCAGCCAGGCCAAACCCAGGGCAGGGACAGGGAGGGGACACAGGGAAAGGACCCTGCTCCACTTCCCTGGGCTTGTGGTGGCTGCTGTGGTGGCTTCCCATGGGGGGAATGGGGGATTAATGGGATAAGAAATGGAATTAAAATGACAGCGGGATAAAACAGGGAGGGGGAAACCAAGCCAGGCCTGAGAGCCCCAGGGCTGCCAGACTGATCCCTGCTGTGGGAACTGCAGGGCTCTGATCCCTGGAGGTTGCCTGCTATGGAAACAGCAGCTCAGGATGCTCAGAGGGACCAGGAGTGCATTAATAGGAATGGTGTTATGGGGTTTTCCCAACGCACAGCACGGATTGCTCCTCCTGTGGGATCCGTCCTTCCTTCCTTCCCACAACAGCTCCCAGAGCGGAAGGGACTCAGGTTTCCGTGGCTGACAGGGCTTCCCCAGGCTCCAGGGAATGAGTCTGTGCAGTCAGGCAGGAGGCACTGGGAAGGAGGCACTGATGCCTCAGGTTTAGCTTTTGTATTTTCAGATTCTGCTTTAGTGTGTGGGTCTGGTGAGCTGAGTTAGGGGATGGTGAGCTCTCTGCACAGAGCAAAGCAATTCCTGCTCTAGCTGGGGACCAAGGCCAAATGATCCAAATCTCAGGCCCAAGGGCACAAACAATGTAGGCTGAAGAGAGAAAAACAAGAAAGATGGGATTTCATAACCTAACGCTGCAACTGGACAATTAATTCCAATATGCAAATGAAGCAGAACTTACAAAAGTCAGAGAACTTTGTGTCCATTTTTGTGACCATTTTGCCTCATCTTGGTTGGCTCTTGTGCTGCCCTAGGTGGATCCATTGTGGAGATCCTTTTAATAAATCCCTCTTTTATTATTTAATTCTATCTTGTGTCAGTTCTAGCTCAGCCTTCCTAAGGATCAGCAGGGCCAGCCTGGGCTCAGAGCTGTCATTCCCTGGGCCACAGCCATGTCCCACTCCCTGCCCTGTCCCCACCGCTGGCTCCCCAGATGAAATCAGGTCCAAGCTCTGTCCCTTGCCCCCCCAGACCCTCAGTTTGTCAAGGCCACCACGCTGAGGCATGAGGAGCCTCACCAGGACAAGATTTATTACTTCTTCCGCGAGGACAACCCGGACAAGAGCCCCGAGGCGCCCCGCAACATCTCGCGGGTGGCCCAGCTGTGTAAGGTACCTTGGGGACAGGCTGGGGTGGCAGCCAGGACAGCCCTGGGGGGGACAGGGCATGTGCCAGCTCCCCTGGGCTGACCCAGGCTTGGTTTGGCCCCTCTGAGAGGGGCACAGCCTTGTCCTTTGGCCTGGTAAGGGAGAAAATTCCCTGCTCCATCTCACCGGGATGGCAGGAATGGGATTGTGGCAGCATCCCGCAGTTCCCCATCAGGATGGGCATTTTGGGGTGTTCGCCCCCCAAATCCTGACTCCCTCCCTGCTGTCCCTGTCCCCCAGGAGGACAGGGGAGGAACCAGCTCCCTCTCAGCCTCCAAGTGGACCACGTTCCTCAAGGCCACCCTGATCTGCGTGGACCCCGTCACCAAGGGCAACTTCAACTGGCTGCAGGACGTCTTCTTCGTCCCTGCCAGTGACTGGCGGCACTCCAAGGTCTACGGGCTCTTCACCAACACCTGGTGAGGGGCCCTGGCCCAAATCCGGGGCTGGAAAGCAGCTGGAGTGGGCACGGAGGCGGGCACAGCCCGATGTCCCCCCTGACCCTGTCGTTGTCCCCTCAGGGGGAGCTCTGCCGTCTGCGTTTACTCCTTCGGGGACATCGACACCGTGTTCAGGACATCGCGGCTCAAGGGCTACAACGGCCCCACCCCCGAGGTGAAACCCGGCCAGGTGAGGGAGGGGCAGGAGCCGCCCCGAGGGAGGCCCGGGGGACCCCGGGAAGGGGACACGGAGGGAGGGACGAGCTGGGAATGGAGGGAGGCTGGAAAAGGTCCGATCCCTTCATGGGAAGCACGGGGAGAGAGGATCTCAGAGGGCACCTGGCACGGGCACTGTGACAACACCCGTGGGGCAGAGCTGTCCCTTCCACTGGTATCCTCAGCGCCCCGCCTGCCTCTGACTCTGCCTTTTGTCCCCTCTGCCGGCAGCGCGTCCCCTCGGGGCAGCACCTCTGAGTCTGGTGCCTTTTGTCTCCTTCTGTCCCCCCGGGCAGCACCCTCTGATGGTCCCTTTTGTCCCCTTCTATCCCTTCTGCTAGTAGTGCATCCCCTCGGGGCAGCGCCCTCTGACGGAACGGTCCCTTTTGTCCCCTTTTGCCCCTTCTGCCCGCTGTGTGTCCCCTCCAAACAGCACCCTCTGACTCTGGTCCCTTCTCTCCCCTGTGCCTGCAGTGCATCCCCTCGGAGCAGCACACTCTGACTCTGGTCCCTTTTGTCCCTTTTTGTCCCCTCGGGACAGCACACTCTGAACTCTGGTCCCTCCTGTCCCGCAGTGCATCCCCTATGGGCAGCACCCTCTGATGGTCCCTTCTGTCCCCTTCTGTCCCTTGTGTCTGCATTGGATCCCCTCGGGGCAGCACCCTCTGACTCTGGTCACTTTTGTCCCCTCCAGGCAGCACCCTCTGATGGTCCCTTTTGTCCCCTCGGGGCAGCACCCACTTACTCCGGTCCCTTTTGTCCCCTGTCCTGCAGTGGGTCCCCTCGGAGCTTCACCTTCTGATGGTCCCTTTTGTCCCCTTTTGTCCCCTCGGGGCAGCACCGTATGACTCTGGTCCCTTTTGTCTCGTTCTGTCCCCTCTCCTGTAGTAAGTCCCCTCGAGGCAGCACCCTCTGATGGTCCCTTTTGTCCCCTTCTGTCCCCTGTGCCGCAGTGTGTCCCTGCTGGGCAGCACCCTCTGATGGTCCCTTTTGTCCCCTTCTATCCCCTCGGGGCAGCGCCCTCTGACTCCGGTCCCTTCTGTCCCTTTCTGTCCCCTGTCCCTCAGTGCGTCCCCTCGGGGCAGCACCCTCTGAGTGTCCCCTTTGTCCCCTGTCCCGCAGTGCGTTCCCTCGGGGCAGCACACGCCGAGCGAGACGTTCAAGATCGCGGACAGCCACCCGGAGGTGGAGGAGCGGGTGGAGCCGCTGTCCCCGTCGCGCAGCCCCCTGTTCCACAACAAGCACCGCTACCAGAAAATCGGCGTGCACGAGGTGGCCGCGGCCGACGGGCGCCGCTACAACGTCCTCTACCTGGCCACAGGTGCGGGGACACCGCGCAGGGACATTCCCCGCGGGCAGGGCTGCGTGCCCAGCCTGGCATATGTTCGTCAGGCAGCGGCGAGCTGCCAAATTTCGGGAACAGCAGAACGCTGCCAGGCTGGCTGTGTGGGCACAGGCGGGCTGCGGGCAGCGTCCCAGGCACGGGGGAGGTGGGCACGCTTCGTGCTGGGGGGCAGAAATCGTTCCCCAAAACCAGCTCTGTTGGTTTTTGGTGCTGCCCGAGCTGTCCTGGTGCCTCCCATCTGTGGGATGTGTTCCCTGGCGCTCGTGGAGGGACCTGCAGGGGTTTAAATTGCTGATGTTGTGATGGAGACAGTGCAGCCGGCTCTCGGTGGGTGGCTGGCGTTGGATTGGGGCCCACGAGTGATGGATTTGGGATTTTACAGCTAGGGAGAAACAGAGAAATAGAGCGAAATAGGGAGACAGAATAAGAGAGGTAGAAACAGACAAATAGAGACAGTTAGAGAGAAACAGAGAAAGAAACAGAAATTGAGAGAAATAGAGAAGCAGAATAAGAGAGGTAGAAACAAAGAAATGGAGACAAACAGAAAAAGAGACAAATAGAAAAGCAGAGCAATGGAGTTAGAGACAGAGAAACGGAGAAAGAGAAATAGAAAAATAGAGCAACAGAGAGAGAGACAGAGAAAGAGTTAAAGAGAAACAGAGAAAGCAAAATAGAAAAATAGAGCAATAAACAGAGAAAAAAATTGAGAAACAGAAATACAGGAACAGAGAAACAGAGTTAGAGAGAAACTGAGAAATTGAGAGAAATAGAGAAATGGAGCTATAAAGTTAGAGAGAAACAGAAATAAATACAGAAACAGAGAAACAGAGTTAGAGTGAAACAGAGAAAGAGAGAAACAGAGAAATAGAGTTGAAATAGAGAGAAACAGAGGGACAGAGCAATGAGAATTTGCAGAATCCTGGGTCTAAACACAGCCAGTGCCCTGCAGGGTCCCCCTGGGCAGCTTGATCCAACAGGAAGGGCTGTGGGATGGGCACAGAGTCACCTGGGGGTCCTGCCCGAGCTGGGCTTCCCCTCCCCCTGGCTGAGGGGAGAAGGGATCCCATTGGGAAGGGGGAACCCCGAGGATTCCCAGCCCTGTTCCCTCGGGGTGCTGCTGCTGCCCTCGCTGGGTGTCAGGTCCAGGAGACACCTCCTGTCACTGTCACCCCCTCACCAGGGCTGTGCCCTCTCTCTCCCCAGACAAGGGGTCCATCCACAAGGTGGTGGAGCTGCCAGACGGGGTGCAGAACATCGTGGAGATCCAGGTGTTCCCCAACAAGGATCCCATCCAGTCCATGATCCTGGACCACGCCAGGGTGGGTCCCTGCTCTGGGGGCGGGAGGACGGGGTGGGTCAGGGTCAGCCCAGGGGCCTGGGAGTGAAATCATGGAACTATTTGGGTTGGAAGGGACCTTTAGTGATCACCCTATGACAACCTTTAATGATCACCTTAATGATCACCCTATGACCTTTATTGATCATCCAGTCCCACCTTCCACTATCCCAGGGTGCTTCAAGTCCCAATGCCCACCCTGGCCTTGGGCACTTATAGGGATCCAGGGGCAGCCACAGCTGCTCTGGGAATTCTATCCCAGCCCATCCCCACCCTCCCAGGGAACAATTCCTTCTCAATATCCCATCCATCCTTGCCTTCTGGGAATGGAAGCCATTCCCAGTGTCCTGTCACTCCAAATTCCCTCTCCAGCTCTCCTGGAGCCCCTTCAGGCCTTGCAAGGGTCTCTGAGCTCTCCCTGGGGCCTTCTCCTCTCCAGGTGAACACTCCCAGCTCTCCCAGCCTGGCTCTAGAGGAGCTCCACCCTCGGAGCATCTCCTTGGCCTCCTTCCAGCAGCTCCAGCTCCCTCCTGACCTCCCCTGGGGACACGGAATGACCATTGCTGTGCTCTCCTCCCGCAGGCCGTGCTCTACGTGGGCTCCAGCAGCCGCGTCCTGGAGCTGCCCATGGACATGTGCGGGGCCTACCGCAACAACTGCCACAGCTGCGTGCTGGCCAGGGACCCCTACTGTGGCTGGGCCAACGGCTCCTGCCTCTCGCTGGCCCTCAGCAGGTGTGTGGGGCCATTCCCACCCCAATCCCACCAGGCAAACACCCACACCCCCAGCATTCCCCTCCTGGGCTGAGCGCGTGCGTGGGTTTGGGGTGGATGCGTTGTGCCCACAGGTTTGGGTGCTCTGTGTGGATCCATCACTCTCTTGAAGGGTTTTGGGCACCCAGACGCCTTTTCCCAAAACTTTGGAGTGCTCTGTGTGGATCCATCCCTCCCTTGAAGTGTTTTGGGCATCCAACCCCTCTCCCCAAAGGTTTGGGGTGCTCTGTGTGGATCCATCCCTCCCTTGAAGGGTTTTGGGCACCCAACCCCTCTCCTCAGGAGTTTGGGGTTCTCTGTATGGATCCATCACTCCCCTAAAGAGTTTTGGGCACCCAACCCCTCTCCCCAAGAGTTTGGGGTGCCCTGCATGGATCCCTCCCTCCCCTGAAGGGTTTTGGACACCCAACCCCTGTCCCCAAGAGTTTGAAGAGCTCTGCATGGATCCATCAATCCCTTAAATGGTTTTGGGCACCCAGCCTCTCTCCTTGAAAGTTTGGGGTGCTTTGTGCATGCATCTATCCCTCCCTTGAAGGGTTTTGGGCACCCAACCCCTCTCCCCAAGAGTTTGGGGTGCTGTGCATGGATCCCTCCCTCCCTTGAAGGGTTTTGGCCACCCAACTCCTCTCCTTGCCGCTGGGTCTCACGTTGATCATCTCCCACCTTCTGAAATTGGGATGGATGGGGGAGATTCCCACCTCTGAACCACCACTTCCCGAAGTTCTGTTGGTGCTTATTTCCATTCCCATTCCCCAGGGACGGGCTCCAGAACCTGAACTTAGACTCATGGCAAGGAAGCTGCCAGAAGGGTGACGTCAAGGAAGGTAGGTGGAGATGTTGTGGCTAGGGAAGGAATTGTTGGATTCTCCAGGCTTTGGATGGGTTTGGGTTGGTTTAGATTGGTTTGGGTTTGGACGGGTTTGGGTTGGTTTAGATTGGTTTGGGCGGGTTTGGCTGTGTTTGGGCAGGTTTGGGTTTGTTTGGAGGAATTTGGATGGGTTTAGGTGGGTTTGGATGAGTTTGGGTGGGTTTGGAAACATTTGGACGAATTTGAATGGGTTTGGATGGGTTTGGGTGGGTTTGGATGGATTGGATGAGTTTGGATGGGTTTGGATGGATTTGGGTTGGTTTGGATGGACTTGGATGAGTTTGGATGGGTTTGGATGGATTTGAAAGGGTTTGGATGGGTTTGAGTGGGTCTGGATGGGTTTGGATGAGTTTGGATGGGTTTGGATGGGTTTGGGTAAATTTGGATGGGTTTGGATGGGTTTGAATGAGTTTGGATGGGTTTGAATGAGTTTGGATGGTTTTGGGCAGGTTTGAGTGGGTTTGGATGGCTTCGGATGAATTTGGGCAGGTTTGGATGGGTTTGGAAGAGTTTGGATGGGTTTGGACAGGTCATCTGTCTCAGTTTGAACAGACAGGTGTCTGCTAAGGAAGGCAGGAGCCTCCCCTGAAATAGAAAATACAAACCCCCTCCCTCTGAATTATTATAATTTCGAAATTCGGGGTTCTAAGGCAGAGACATGGGAGCAGCAATAACAGGGCAGAGCAGAAGTTTTCGAGGTGTTCCCTCTCAGAAGCCATCTCTGAGTGCTCCTCCACCCCACTAAAACCCAGACTGCTCCCAGCTAACCCACCCTCACCCCGTGTCCCCGCAGACGACTTCCACAACGTCTCGGTGATGCTGCAGTCCCGCTACTACCTCAACTGCTCCATCGAGTCCCACTACGCCACCTACAACTGGTACCACGAGGACGTGCTCATCAAGAGCTGCAACACCTCCCACCCCCAGCACGACTGCTTCCACTTCATCCCCAGCGTGAGCCGCGAGCACTACGGCCGCTACGTCTGCGTGTCCGAGGAGGACGGCTTCCGCCAGGCGCTGGTCAAGGAGCACCTGATGAACCACCAGCGCTTCCTCTGGCAGCGCGGCCATGCCCCAGCCGTGCTGGCCTCGTGGCTCCAGCTGCTGCTCGTGGTGGCCCTGGCCGAGCTCTTCCACTGACGCCGTCCCGCTCGCCCTGCCCGTGGACTTTGAGCGCCCCTCGCCGCCGGCCCCGCTGGCGGAGCCGCGGGAGGAGGGCGCGACACGCGGTGGCGGCCCCGCCGGCCAGCCATGCATGCGCTGATGCTCAGGGCGCGGCCGCTCCTTGCATGTGATGAAGATGAGGAGGAGGAGGAGGAGGAGCCGGCCCTCGGCCTCCTCCGGACTGTGGGATGCCCGCTGCCTCCCGAGGATGGGGCTGGGACGCCCCCGGCGAGTCCCCTCCTGCTTGAGGGGGGCTCGGGTCGTTGTTTTTTTGTTTGGTGTGGGAGGGAGGTCGGGAATCGGCGCACCACGCGTTGGGAATTTGCATGGAAAAGCCTCGGAAGGTGACTGGAGTTGGGGTGTGGGGACGGGGAGGGGAGGTGGGAGCAGAGCCCGGAGCGGAGCGGGAGGCGCTGGGAGGATGCTGGAGACGCACAAATGCTCTGCAGGCAGCTGAGCTGAGCCGAGCGCACGGGGCCGTGCCAGCTCCCACCCTGCCCTGGGCGTCCTCAGGGAAAGCGGCCGCGGATCTCAGGGCACCGGGGGAGCTGTCCCCGCCCCTGTCCCTGTCCCCGCGCTCTCGGAGGTCTCGGAGCGAGATTAAACTGTGAAAATCGGGATTTTCCCCCTGTGCAAAGGGGGGTCCCGCTCCTTGTCCCAACCTCGCCCAGCCCGGAGCGGCCCTGCCCTGGGCGGGGACACCCAGGGGACACCCTGGCCGTGCTTCCAATGCCTGTCCCGGCTCCTGCTCACTCAGGAGGGGCCACGTCCGGAGCCAGAGCTTCCTACTGCACTACATGCCCGAGATGTTCCCCATCCCCAGCCCAGGACAGAGCTTCTCACAGCCCTTCTCAAAGCACTTTAACTTTGTGGACTAACAGATATTTATTATACCGACTGCTCGTTTCTGTCTTGTAGGATTTTATAATATTACAGCAGGCGGGGGCGGATCACAGGAGAGGAAAATTTAAGAAAAATCCACCACAACAGCTACCAAAAAAATCCCCCCAAACCCTTTCAGACCTGTAACCAAAGCAGATGGTTGGAATAAAGAGAGGATAAAAGCAGGAGAGCGCTGTGGTTCTCACTGGGAATGATGAGGGGGGAATCTCCCCTGGCCTTTTTCCATGTCCTGCTCTCTCCAGCCCCTGTTTTGGGGCTCCTCTTTTGATCCAGCAGCAAATTCCCGCTGGAAATCCCAAAGGATGGAGTGAGCAGCAGCCCTGGGAAGGGAGGGATGGGAATAGCGGTGGGGTTTGTGGTGTGGAGCCATCCCCCCTCCTCCTGCCTGGGATGCTCCCGATTTTCGGGAAAAGCGAGCTGCTGGTCGGTGCTGGAAGGGAAAAGGGCTGGAGGGAGGCGAGGAATGGGAATTCGGGATTTTGGAGGGTGCTAAAAAAGGCAGGAGTGACCGAAGCCGCCATCAAATCAGCCCCGGCACAAAGGCAGAGCTGGCTCGGGACTCGTCCCGGTCCATTCCCGGCTATTCCCGGTGCTCTTGCCCACAGGGAAATATTTCGGGACGGGCGAACGAGCTGCAGCTCAGGACTGCAGTGACACACAGCCGGGTGGCGCTGGGGACACGGGGGTGGCACTGAGGGGTTCCCGCTCCTCACCGGGGGGAGACTTGGAAGCAGAAAAGAGAAACCTTTCCCTGCCTCCATCCCTCTATGGCACAGAATTCCCGCTGTCGCCGGCAGCCTGCGGGCAGGAAGGAGGCAAGAACCGGGAGCGGGCCATTCCCGAGCCGGGAACGGGAATTTTGGCAGCCCCGAGGGGTGGGAACGAGGATCGCAGATCCCAGAGAGAATTTTTGGGTGCAGCGCACGGACTCCGAGCTGTTCTCATTCCCAGCTCCACCGGTGGGACCCCAAAGCTCAAAAATCCCAGGAAAGATTTTGGGAGCGGCTCAGGAAGGTGACGCTCAAGAATTTCCACCCTGGAATGCGTGGGAGCGGGTGCAGACAGCCAGTTTGGCTGCCCAAAATCCCTTTCCTTGCCCCCAAAACCCGGCTGAGAGCTGGGGCCGAGCACCCCGGGGACCAGCGGAGTCCCCGGGTGACAGTGACACAGGCAGGTGTCCCCTCGCTGTCACCTCCCAGTCCCTGGGGGCAGCCAGGACAAACCGCGGAGCTTTTTTTGCCCAATTCCCCGAGGAAAGCAGCTCGGGCCGAGCCCTGCGGGTGTTTTTATCCCGGGACACGCTCCCAGTCCCGCCCGCTGATTCCTGAAACCCAGCGAGTCAAAACCGGGATTTGTTGTGGCCCGAGGGAGCCGCGATGTCCCCGCGCTGTCCCCGCGCTGTCCCCGGGGTTATTCTGGGATCTGAGCTCGCCCGGGAAGCTCCAGCACACGGGCTCAGATATTCCAGCAGCTTTTCCAGGCTTTTCCCAGCACAGGCAAAGCCGAAACCTCCCTGCCCCATGGATACCCTATAGGGACCTGCAGAGGGAGCCCCCTGCCCCACAGAAAACCCCAAACAACAACAAACACATCGGGAGCATTTGGGGGCTTTCCCAGAGTTTCTTTCACTATGCAGTGTGTCCCTCAATGTCCCTCCATGTCCCCCAGTGTCCCTTTGTGTCCCCCAGTGTCCCTCCACGTCCCTCGGCATCCCTCTGTGTCCCTCCATGTCCCCTGGTGTCCCTCCATGTTTCCCTGTGTCCCCCAGTGTCCCTTTGTCTCCCCCAGCAACCCTCCATGTCCCTCTGTGTCCCTCTGTGTCCCTTGGTGTCTGCCCATGTCCCTCAGTGTCCCTCAGTGTCTCTAAGTATCCCTCTGTTTCCCTCCATGTCCCTCGGCCTCCTTCTGTGTCTCTCGGTGTCTGTCCATGTCCCTCGGTGTCCCCCAGTGTCCCTCCATGTCCCCCAGCGTTCCTTTGTGTCCCCCAGTGTCCCTCAGTGTCCCCAAGTGTCCCTCCATGTCCCTCCATGTCCTCCAGTATCCCTTTGTGTCCCTCCATGTCTCTCGGCATCCTTCTGTGTCCCTCCATGTCCCCCAGTGTCCCTCAGTGTCCCCCGGTGTCCCTCCGTTTCCCTCCATGTTTTTCCATTTCCCTAAGTGTCCCCTGGTGCCCCTCTATGTCCCCTGGTGTCCCCCAGTGTCTCTCAGTGTCCCTCAGTGTCCCTGTGTGTCCGTCTGCGTCCCTCAGTGTGCCCCCGGTGTCCCTCTGCATCTCTCGGTGTCCCTCCATGTTCCCTGGTGTCCCTCCATGCTCCTCAGTGTCCCCCAGTGTCCCTCCATGTCCCTCTGTGCCCCTCCATGTCCCCTGGTGCCCCTCCATGTCCCCTGGTGTCCCTGAGTGTCCCTCCGTGTTCCCTGGGTCCAGCACAGAGGGACAGGAGGGGCTGGCACTGTGTCACCATGTCCCCAAGGCGTGGGGCTGCAGCCGGTGGGGTTTGGGGCTGGGACAGCCATGGGGACAGGGACAGGAGGGGACAGGGACAGCAGGGGACAGAGCCTGGGCCTGGCAGGGGACAGGAGGGGACAAGGACAATGGGACAGGAGGGGACAGCCCCTGTGGCCCGCAGGGGACAGCTCCGCGCTCCGCGGAGGGAGGGGACCGGCGCCGTCCCCGCGCGGTGGCACTGACGGGCCCCGCGCGCCCCCCGGTGTTTGTCGCCGATGTCGCATCCGCCGCCAGCCCCGCTCGGCGTCCCCGCTGCTCATCCCTGTCCCGGGGACACCCCAAAGAGGGGACCCCCGTGTCCCACTCCCCATTGTCCCCCACGCCAGCGCCTGGGGACAAGGGACAAGGGACAAGCTTCGTCCCCGGCTGGGGACACCTCAAAGCCATTTCCAAAAGCTCGCAGGGGAGTTTGGGATTTGGGGATTTAGGGTTTGGGATTTGGGGTTTGGGATTTGAGGTTTGGGATTTAGGATCTGGGGTTTGGGGTTTGGAGTTTGAGATCTGGGATTTGAGGTTTGGGGTTTGGAGTTTGGGATCTGGGGTTTGAAGTTTGGGATTTGGCATTTGGGGTTTGGGGTTTGGGGTTTTGGGTATGGGGTTTGGGGTTTGGAGTTTGGGATCTGGGGTTTGGGATTTGGGATTTGGCGTTTGGGATTTGAGGTTTGGGATTTGGAGTTTGGGATTAGGGGTTTGGAGTTTGGAGTTCGAGGTCTAGGGTTTGAAGTCAGGGGTTTGGGATTTGGGATTTGGGATTTGGGGTTTGGGGTTTGGAATTTGAGGTTTGGGATTTGGATCCCAGGAATGCCGGTCCCGCCCCGTCTCGCGGCACGTGAGGCGCCCCCAGCAGTGGCAGCGCGTCCCCAAGGCCACCCCCGCCGGGTGACCCTGGCTGGCGGCCCCCAAGGCTGTCCCGGCCGGGGTGCCCTGCCCCGCGCCTCGTTATCACTTTCGGGGCACCCCCGCCCCTCTGCCAAGGCCGCCCCGGGTGTCACCTGTCCGGGGCCGCTTCGGGGCGGGCTGCGCCACCCCCGGCGGTGTCGCGGGCGGGAGCAGCTCCGGGAGCTCGGCATAAGAGCGAGGCCACCGCGTCCCTCGGGCCACCGTCCCCATGCTCGCCCGGGCTGTCACCGCGGCCGGAGCGCTGCGGGGATGTCCCCGAGCCGCAGCCGCGGGGTGTCGCCGGCTCGGCGGGGCTGTGGGCGCTGTCCCCCCGGCTGTGCCCCCGGCTGTCCCCAAGGCTGTCCCCAAGGCTGTCCCCTCGGCCCCCCGGCCCTTTAACCAGGTGCCGGGCGATTGGAGGGCGGGCTGGCTCAACCTGTACCGCTTCTGGAGGGAGGGCGGCCTCAGCAACCTGCACCTCAGCATGGCCGGCAAGTTCCGCCGCTTCGGGCCCATCTACAGGTCAGCTGGCCCTGTGCCCTCCCCGTGTCCCCTCCTCGTGTCCCCTGCTCGGTCCTCTCCCTGTGTCCCCTCCTCATGTCCCCTCCCTGGTCCTCTCCCCGTGTTGCCTCCTCGTTTCCCCTCCCTGTGTCCCCTCCCCGTGTTCCCTCCTGTGTACCCTCCCTCTGTGCCCTGCCCCTGTCACCCTCCCTGTGTCCCCTCTCCGTGTCCCCTGCCCGGTCCTCTCCCCGCGTACTTTCCTCGTGTCCCCTCCCTGTGTACCCTCCCTATGTGCCCTGCCCCTGTCCCCTCCCTGGTCCTCTCCCTGTGTCCCCTCCCCGTGTCCCCTCCCTGTGTCCCCTCCCTGTGTGCCCTGCCCCTGTCACCCTACCAGTGTCCCCTGCCCGGTCCTCTGCCCGTGTCCCCTCCCCATGTCCCCTCCCTGCATCCCTTCCCTGTGTCCCGTTCCCATGTCTCCTGCCCATGTCACCTCCCGTGTTCTCTGCTCCTTTCCCTTGTCCGATCCTCACCCTGTCTTCTCTCCCCGTGTCCCCTGCTCCTGTTCCCTCTCCTATCCCTTGCTCGGTCCCCTGTCTCTGTCCCCTCCCGTGTCCCCTGCCCTCTCCCCTCTCCGTGTGCTCTCCTATTGTCTCTCCCCATGTCTCCTCCCTGT